TTGCAGCTGGAATTATTCTAACACAAACTGTCCAACAATGTGAGGTTCGGCCACTATTCTTTTTTCATTTGGAACCACCAAGGATTGTTCTCTAGCCAACACCTTTCTCATTGACCGCAACGAGACATCTTCAACTTAATCAAACTCGACAGCACAGATACCTCCCTTGCCAAACACTAATCAAAGTGTCTTAAATACCTCACTCAATAGTGAACTGCGTGTTGTTTGGCCGGTAGCCAGTGATTACTTCACTAAAAGGGGTATACTCATGAACCAACAACTTTAGGCCATTAACATGGTCTAATCTCCCGTCTTGCCAACTCGAAACAAGTTCATAGCAGTTAGTCGTGACACAAATGGGGTATTCTTCGCACTGGATTCTGGTGGAAAAAAGTTACACGAGTCGATGTGTGGCTTTTGAATCTTGTTTTAGCACTGGCTGTTGCCATGTCTCAATACCCCATAGTCATATGCTGATGGAAGTAGCCTATGGATCCTTTGCAGATGTCTTGATGAATATGCTCAAATCCTATGAATTTGGATCCCTTAATTACACCTTGAAGTAATTGACTGTGAGAAAGAAAATTATCTCCACTTGAAATCAAATATTCCTGCACAAATCTATTAGTAACAATAAGCATGTACACAAAGACCGCATGACCTAAAGATGTTATGCGAGGCAACGCACAAAGAGATGGGATCTTAGGTTCAAAAATTAGGGTACGACACAGTCCCATATTAAGGTCCTAAAAAACTTTGACTTCTGCACAAAACTTTGCAATTGGATCCAAAAAATCCTGAACTCTGCTAAGCTCTTATCTCTATAAATGGAAAGCTTAAAGATTTTTATCCTATTCTAGGAGTGAGGCATGGTGACCCTTTATCACTCCTACTTTTTTTCTTGCAGAAGAAGAAATTTTAATTAAGTGTCTTTCTCACCTAGTTATAAGTAATCATCTCAAGCTAATCAAAGGAACGAGGAACCAACACATCCCTTCTCACTCCTTATATTCATATGTAATAATGTTACTTTTCACTTATTCATCCAAGAATATTAAAGTGTTATCCAAGTTATTTTCTAGACATGCTAAAATATCTGGTTAGATCATTAACCCTAAACAATACCCTATTTATGAAGGATAGATTTCATAAAGCTAGGCTGTTTCATATAGTCTCATCACTTGGCTTCAACATTTGCACTTTGCATTTTCTATATTTAGGTGTTCCAATTTTCAAAGACAAGGCAATGAGAGGTAATTTCCAACCAATCATTTAGAATATCAAAATCAAGTTGGCTAATTAGAAAGCTTCCTTACTATCCTTTTCCCAAAGAATACAACTTATCGAAAGTGTTCTTCACAACATGCTTGTTTACTCCTTAACCATTTGTTCCTAGCCTAAATCTTTGTTGAAGGAGCTAGAGACAATTTTCAAAAACTTTGCATGGAGTGGTGACTTGAACTCCAATAAACTAGTCATAGTTGCATGGAAAATAGTTTGCTCTTATATTTATTGGTGGTCTGGGCTTGGTCTCTCATTCACCTCAATGATGCTTCTAAACTCATATTATGTTGGTAGATGCTAAACTCCAACAACCAGTGTGCAATATTCTGTAGAAGTAGTTTAATTAGGGACAACTCATACATTAATTAGTGCATGTTTTCATCCATTTAGAGTGGCATCAAACTTCAATTTCAAACTCTCATGTCAAGTTCCAAATGGATCATTGGCAATGGTTGTAGGATCAATTTTTGGACACACAACTGGTCTGATGTTGGAGTTCTTAGAGACTTATTCAATCTTCAACTTTGAATGGGTTATACCATTAGAATTACAAAATTTGTTTCATACAGTTCCTGGTTATATTACCAAAAATATAATTGGCTTGAAAAAAAAGAAGACAAGTTGGTATGGAACCATTTAACATCAGGTATGCTCTCCCTTCAAGATGCATACTCCTTCATACGTAGTCCCACAGTCTAAAGATTGGGCCAAATATATTTGTAACACTCAAATTTCTCTCTCACATTCCACTTTGGTTTGGAGCACATTCTATAAAAAGATGCCTATTGATGACAACTTAACACTTAGAGGTTGTAACCTTCACTCAATGCGCACTCTCTTTAAAAAATCAGCTGAGACTGCCAAACACCTATTTATTTCTTGCCATTTTCCAATCAAACTTTAAACCTGGTTCCACAATATCACCAATCATGCCATTAGTTTCATATCTTTTACTTTTATGCTTGATGTCTACAAGGGTGGAGTCCCCAATGCTCTTTAGTGATTTGTGTTATAATCATTACAACATTCAAATTATTTGGCTTTGTAAGAATACCATGAGATTAAAAAATTTTCAACCATCTCAGAATTCTCTGATACCAACCTCATTGCATCAGTTTCAACTGTAGGAAATTCTACTGCGTTAGAAACTAGTCCCTCTATAGTTGACTAATCAATCCTTAAAGCCTTCAACGTGCAGACTCATCATCCTAAAGATCCTCAAATCAAGGATGTAATTTAATGCCTCTAATTTCTTTGTGGATCAAGTGCAAAACATATAACTAAACTCTCGGTAACCTTGACGCATAAGCTTGTGCTGACCTTTTCAGAACTAATAATGATGGATGTATTGCTTGGTGATCATAACTTTTATGTGCAGAGCTAATGGGCATTATCATTGCCATTGAAAATGCCAATGCTAAAAATTGGAACTTCTTATGAATTGAAACAGTCTCAAAAATTGATATCTTGGCCTACTAGAATCCTTAAATTATTACTTGGCAGCTTCATAACAGATGGAGCAACTACATAACTCTATTTAAATCAATACACTTCATGATCACACACATCTTTCGAAAAGAGAATTAACGGGCTGACACTCTTGTTAATATTGAAAGAACAAATTAGAAATACCTATTTTTTTTCTTTAACGGTTAGGCTCCCACCACACACACACACATCTTGTATCTCCTATTTTCTTTTTTAATATACCAGAATCATATAAAAGAAATCTTCGGTATGAACCAATTATTTTTATGAATTTTATCTCATATAGTAAGTCTTATATTATTGTGCAAATAAAAATTTAAATGTGAGCGTAATATAATAAATAGACTTAATTATATTAGTCATTTTTATTTAATTAAAGACTTCATTGTTAATTAGACAAAAAAGATTAACATAATACATTTTAAACAATTAAAGAACTAATATGAATACTTTTTTAATTAAGAGACTAAAATAAATTATAAATTAACATTCGAAACCAAAAAGAGTATTAAATCATGAATTTTATCTTATATAGTAAGTCTTAGATTCGTGTGCAACTAAAAATTTAAATGTAAACTTAATAATATAAATACTTTTTAAAAGTAAATAATTTTTGTAAATAATATGACAACTTATATAATATATATTTATATATATGGACAAAAACTTTTATTTTTTATTTTATGATTTTTATCTTTTATAGTAATTTTAGCAATATTGTGAAACGAATTTGAAATGTATAATAGTAATTTTTTTTAATGGTAAATATAATATATTAAAAAGGGAAAATCAACACCAATAAAAAAGTATGCACAAAGTATAAGAAGTGTCCAAAAACAAAAAAGAAATCATTCCCTTAATCAATATAAGAAGGTATTTTCAGATGTATATTATGCACAAATAATGTTTTTTAAAGAAATTTATCTTATATAGAACGGTTAACCAAATTCAATTTTGAATATCACATGCAAAAAAAAAAAAAAAAAAAAAATATATATATATATATATATATATATATATATATATATATATATATATATATATATATATATATATATATATATATATATATATATATATATATATATATATATATATATATATATATATATATATATATATCAGTCTAAATTAATCTTTTATATATCAGTGCAATAAATTTGATTCAAATGCCAAAATACTGTCTCATTCTTATACAACTATGTTCTACACTTTAACCTTCTTAATTGCATTCCTCACATTTGTTGTAGAGATTACTAATGGAGAGGTTATAGCTAATGTGACAGTTGTTGCTGATGGAAGCGGAAACTATACTACAGTGATGGAAGCTGTAAATGCAGCACCTGATAATAGCATGACACGTTATGTAATATCTATAAAGAAAGGAATTTACATAGAGAAAGTTTTTATCGATGAGAAAAAGTGGAATCTCACTATGATTGGAGAGGGTATGGGTGCCACAGTCATAACCGGTAACATGAGTTGCAGTCAAAATAAATCAAATGAATGTACTTATGACTCAGCTACCTTTGGTAAGTCCTATAACCTTTTCATAATCTCTCTTCAATTTTATTTTAGAAACCAGATATCCTATGCATTGCAGAAACTAATCTCTCTAGATGGGTAGGATCCAAATGAATAACATTTTCTCTTCAATTTTATTTAGTCCTTTTACTATGTTTTATCATGTATTTATTTTCTCATTTATGTTAATTTTCAATGTTTGCATCTGTTACCTTTTAGCTATCTTTTAATATTGAAACATGTAACTAAATTTTTATTTGTTTCATGAAGCTGTGAGTGGTCCAAGATTCATAGCACAAGATATTTCTATTTAGAACACTGCCGGTCCAGAACATTACCAAGCAGTGGCGCTCAAATCTGACTCCGACTTCTCTATCTTTTATAGAGTTGAGATTTCTGGTTATCAAGATAGTTTATGTGTCAACACAAATCGTCAAATTTTATAGAGAATGCAAAATTAGTGGCACTCTCGACTTTATCTTTGGATATGCTACCGTAGTGTTTCAAAATTGTACAATACTAGTAAAAAAAGGTTACATGGACAAGAAAACACAATCACTGCTCAAGGAGGATATCTTGGAGTATCAAGTGGATTTTCGTTTCAATTTTGCAACATACTAGCGGACTATGATCTTTTACCCTTAATTAATTCAACCTCAACATTTCTTGATAGACCATGGAAGCCAAATGCTAGAACAATTTTCATGCAATCAAATATAAGTAATGTGTTGAGTCCGAAAGGGTGGTTAGAGTGGGAAGGTGCCCCTGAATATTTAGATACATTATTTTTTGCGGAATATATGAATTATGGGCAAGAGGCTAACACGAAAAATCGAGTGAAATGGTCAGGTTATAATTTGTTGAGTTTTAATCAGGCTAGTAATTTCACGGTGGCCAACTTTATTTTAGGAGATCAATGGTTACCTTCAACAGGAATACCGTTTACTAGTGGATTAGTGAATTAAACCATCACTTAAGAAAAAATATAAATAAAAAATAATAAAAACTTATAATTTTATTGCAATAAAGATAATTTTAGTTTTCATCACTCTTTAGTAATTTGACACTTCTTTATTTGTTTCTATAGCGGAGTACTTTTTTTTGAAATCATAAATGAAAATTGATGAGTGATATATTTATATAGTGTTAGACTTTATTATGGATTACTTTCATCAATTAACAAAAATAAATATTAAAATTAATTATTTAATTAGTTATTGCATCTTACTTGAAATAAATAAATATTATATTGAATTGTGTTAGTTGTTCTTTTTAATTAGTGTGATGAAAGATTTCTACCCTCATCTAATGATTATATAATCTGACTATTCTATTAGATAAGAATAATCTTTATTTCGATACCAAGCATAGTAAGAAAGCAACACACTTTTGACCTATTTTATATCTCTAGATTAAATAGAACTAACAACAACAATACAAAGGTATACAACATTACTTTTAAATATGTGTGTGGCGCATGAGCATGCATAAGTGTATCGATAACTTTTATAAATTGGTATTAGAGTAAAATAGATATTGTTTATACCTATTAATTTGCTTTATTTATCTTACTTGTATCGTATAACTACTTCATTATTTTTTGGGATTTCATTATATGAATTTCTTTTATTCTTTGTTTTGGTTAAATGTGAACATACAGTATAAATTATATATAAACTGAAAAATATTTTTCATGCAATCCAAAACAGATAATGCTCATCAGGCCTTGTGTGACGTAGGAGAGGAAATATCTCTTGTTGGACAAGAGATTTTAAGAAAATGGTTTGAAATGTTTTGATTAACATTAAATTTTTTTATAAATTAGACTTTAAAATTATTTGTAAAACAAACAAGCAAATAAGCAGTGGAGTAGAGAAACAAATGAAAAAATAAAGGAAAGAAAATAACTTAAAAGTAAAAGAGATTAGGGAAAGGGAAAGACGCCAAGAAATTATGAGATTCGGTTTGAATGAAGATGATATTATCTTTTTCTCACAATTTTTCTTAAGAGTTTCTATTATTTTGAGAGCTTTTAATAGGATATTCCCACAAACCTCTTTTTACAAGGATTTGAAGTTTAATAACTAACTTCCAATCAAATTTGGAGTTTTTGCTAATTATCCTCTTAATCGTATGGAGTTTTATACCGGCTATCTTCCTAACCAAACTACAAATTTCGTACAGTTAACCTCTGATCCGAGATGGAGTTTTATATTGTCTATCCTCTAAACTAAGATGGGGTTTTACACAAACTAACCTCTGAACCGAGCTGAGATTTTATACGGGATGATCTCAAACCAAAATGAGATTTTACAAGCGCTTATCTCGAACCTGTGGAACTATGTGCTTACATGTTTTATCAGGAATGTTCAAAGCTCATAGATAAGAAAGATATGCCTAGCCCTGATAACGTCATGGTTTTGATGATGACAACACCTAAAGATGTAACATCCTTTAAAGTGACTTTGATGACAAGTGTTAAAACTGATTCAAGCGGTCAAAGATGCATACGATAGTTGATTAAGTTACTCCTATGAATAAAGCTAAAAATTAGGGTTTGATGATCACCAATGATATCCTCTGATAATTACATCTGAGTAAAAGATACCTCAAGTATAATCCACAAGAAGATTCAAGTGAAGTGGTCATATAATTGGTATATCGAGCAAAAGGACTTGAATATTCAGAGTGTAAAAGAGAGGAAGTAAGAAAGCTCGCATGATTATGTCTGTCTAAGTCATCAGAGCATTGTAAAAACACAAGGGCGTTTTCGTAAAATATCATGGCTAAATCACACACTCACTACAACTATTTTTGAAGCCTCTATTTTTCAAATAAAATCACCTAAAATATTTTTTTTTAGCGTAGCTAGATGGTTTGGGAAATGTTAGATTGATTAGGGTAAGTTTTTGAACTGTCTAATCGATTATACCAAGTGCCTAATCAAATATATAAGGGAAAAACAAGTCCATAAACGATTATGAAATTGCCTAAATGATTGGTAACAAATCTATATCCAAAATTTCTAAATTGGGCTTAAATGATCGATTCTTTGTGGTACCTAATCAATTAGGCTTAGCAACTAATCGATTAGGTGAATTAATTTTTCCCATGGATTATTTTCTTTTTTGAACCATCCTTTGGCCTATAAATATAGGCATTCCCCTTCATTTCTTTTAATTCACAAAACATGAGATATCTCATCTTCCTCTCTATTGATTTCTATCACATATTTTTAACTATAGCACTTTGAGAAATGATTTTGTGTTTATTGAGGAAGTTGTTATGGAAGGGGTATATTGTAAATTCACCAATAATTCATTTTCCTTTGGAGTGAATTATTTTTCCTTAGGAAGAAATTGTTTAGGTTTGGAGCTAAACTTGTTAAAAGCTATTTTTGGGGGATTAGTATTAGTCTTCATTTGGTACGTGAGTTCAACCACTTAAGGAAAAGCTCTCGTTCCGGGTTCATGAAGAAAAGCTAGTGTGAAATCTTCATATTGGTTCTTGAGCTCAGCATTGTACAAAAGCTCAATCAGTTCTATATTAGCTCGGTATAAAATCTTAGTTTGGTTTGTGAGAAGCCCGACATAAAACCTCGGTTAGTTTCAGAGGATATCCAATTAAAAGCTCCATCTTGGTTCGAGATAAGTTTGTATAGAATCTCTGATTGGCTGAAAGACTAATCACTAAAAGCCTCATTTGTTGTTTGGATGGAAGACTAACCGATTCATTCCACTATTTGTTGTTTTGTTAAAAGTAAACCTAAAACTTCATTTTTCTTTGTATAAGGGGGTTCATAGGCTTAACCTTCTAAAAGCTCTTAAGAATTATTGGATACTATTAGCTCGCCAATTCGACGACTCATGTTTGGAGGTTATTTTCAGTGTATTAAAAGACTTACAAGTCTTCCAAGGACTTAGGAAAATTGAAGTCTTGAAATTAAACAATTCGACTTAAGCAGCGAAGTGGTCTTCGACCGAGATTTAGAAGAAGGGACGAAGTGAGTTTTTGAAATTCGAATCTTGGAGGGAGTAGTTATATTTTCTTATGACTAAGAAGGACAAGTGGCTCTCATCGGATAAAGGACTGCATGCGGTCTGACACTTATCAGGAATAGATGGCCTAAGGAGGTTATTAGCAGTTACTATTATTGTTATAAATAGGAGTCTTAGACATAAAACTTAGTGTGTTGTAATTTACTATTGTACAAGTCACTCTTAAAATTACTCCAAGTATCCGAGTGTAGAGAAAGAGAGTATTATAGAGAATGTACGTGATGTAAACACACCGTCCTTTATCTTTTCAATGAAGTTACTTTGTTTTCTTTACTTTTGTCAAGTACTTTTATTTATTTGTTTCGTCTTTCCCTTTTACTCATCATTACCACTTTGATTAGGTCTTTCCCTCCCAAAAAACCTTTATCTCTTTTCCCTCTAATAATTCTTCTTCCTCCTTTCCTTTAAACATAGTGGACAATTTCTACCCCCTTTTTAAGTTATTTCTTCTTAGTATTGTTGAAACACATTTCTAGATAGGTTCAAATAGAAACACCCTTCAGCACATATCCTAGGATTTCGTATGGTCAATCCTGCAAGTTAGTCAATTTGACACCAAATTGATAGACCAGAGGTTGTTTACCAAAAAACACGGTAAACAAAATGGCACACCCAGTGGGACCGTGCTGAACAAAGAAAGTTTTGAGATCATAAGATTCTAAAAATATAAGCCTTATCAACTTTTCTTCAAAATACATTGTATGTTACTAAGAAGTGGCAGAATAACCACTACGAACGAAGAAAGTTTAGTAAGACGTAACCACTAGTGGAAAAAAGGCTTCTTAAGTCGGTTAAAAATGACTTTTTAAGTCGGGTCCGAGCCCGACCTAAGAATTACCGACATAAGAAGTTTTGACTTCTTAAGTCGGTTGTGGACCTGACTTAAGAAACAACTTCTTAAGTCGGTTAGGAAGAACCCGACTTAATAAGTCTAGCCTGCATAAACCATTTATACCCGACCTAAGAACTTACTTCTTAAGTCGGGTATAATTAACCGACCTAAGAAGTTTTTTTTTTTGATAATCACACAAATCAAATGCAGTTTTCCCATTTAACAATTTACCCCCAAATCAGACTATCCAACTCAATCAACAAATTACACCCAAAATTATCAGAAAATTAACTCTTCTTTTCATTATCACAAAATTATGTAGAACCAAGTATATTAACACAAGTATAAATTACAACCAAGTATATTACCATCACCTAACCAAACACCAAAATTAATCACATATACTTGAGAATGATATAGAGCTTGTTTGAAAAAAAACAACTTAAGTAGGAAGAATTTGTATAGAGTACTTCGAAATTGTTCTTCGACAGGTGTACTGATGGCCCATCCGTTGTTACGACATATGAAAACAACTGGTGCCTCCATTACTGCTGCAAAGTTCATAGCAGCATGAAAATCTCCCTACAATATTTCAAATTACAAAAGATTAAACTGGTGCCTCCATTACTGCTACAAAGAACACTGACTGTTACTTATTTTCCAGCTTTGGCCAGTTTCCTTATCAGAGTCTCAACAGCAACATTTCCTGTGACTGTTACTTTCTTCTGTTGCAGATCAATTGCTGTAGTAAACACTCCTGAACGCAAAACCAGAAAATATGAATAAAAAACACAAACAAATATATTAAACACAATACTAACATAATGTCTGACATCGGATGCTACATTGTACATGCTAGAACACACAACCATACAGTTGTTTATGTTTTGGGCTTATAACAGTAAAATTTGAGCTCTGAATATTTTCATGCATGAGAAGTCGAAGAAATGAAGTACCATCAATGTTCTGTAAAACTTTCTTTACTTTTCTTCTACAACCTTCACAATGGATAGAAACTTTCAAGAACCATGTCTGAGAAACATGTAAGAGAAACAAACTTTAGCTTATAAAACTA